CAAAGCGATCTCCGTAGCTGGGCTGAGTTCTCCCTCATCCCCACTTCCCTTCTTCCTATCCCTGGCCAACAGAGCCTTGTGGTATCTTTACTTCAGGCCACTGACAAGCAAGGCTCTCACCTTCCTTCTGCAGGCGCGAGGCAGGAGGAGAAAGGGGTCTTGGTAGTGTGGCGGGAACGAGTCAGCATCCCTACAATCCACAGCCGCAGCTGCCCTCTGCTAGCTGGAAGGACCCGGATCGGCTTCTCAGGTAATTCTCAAATGAGACTAGAGCAGGACTAAGCGGGTAAGCAGCATGACATACTGTTGTGAAAGCTCCAGCTGCCAGAGCTTTTGCTCCAGACTGGAGTTCACACATAAATAGGATGTGTCTTTATGGTTAGAAAAAGCATGTATATGCACACAAAGATAACATAAAAATCCCAATTTCTAGGGGCGCCTGGGTGGCTTAGTCGGTTAAGTGTCCGACTTTCACTTAGGTCATGATCTCGCGGTTCGTGGGTTTGAGCCCCGCGTCAGGCTCTGTGCTGACAGCCAGCTCGGAGCCTGGAGCCTGTTTCGGAGTCTGTGTCTCCCTCTCTCTCTGACCCTCCCCTGCTCACGCTGTCTCTCTCTCTCTCTCTCCTAGAAATAAATAAAAATATTAAAAAAAAAAACCCAATTTCTAGATCAACTTCTTTATTTGACCTGATCACCTTATACCCCAATGTTCAGACACTGGATGAGTCTTCCAAGACCCGTCAAGCACTCTAAGGGCCAGATACTCTGGCAAAGCCTCCTACATAAGACCTTTATATGCCTAATTTCTTAACTATCTTACTTCTGTGGAGACACAGAAGTTTAACCTTTATATGCCTAATTTCTTAACTATCTTACTTCTGTGGAGACACATAGTGTCTGGATTAAATGAAGAAAGAAATTCGGCCTTGCCAGAGGATGAAAATGACACCATAATCTTCAAAGACGGTGTTGCAATTTGTTAAAATGACAACTCTTCAGATCGGAAGAGGTAAACCTGAAAGCTAAAGGCATCCCCATGTATACGGTGTGTGATAAACCATTAGAACAGGCAGCCACACCGGTGTCACAGGACACACAAGGCCCTCAGAACATAAAAGAAACCAACACATGTGCACACACACATGCATGCAGCGCTGTGAAGAAATAAACATTTACATCCATAAGAAATGCACAAATCTACCTTGAAGCAAGAATCTTTACAGGTTAGAAATCACTCCCCTATCGGTATGAACAAAATCACTTAAGTGTTGAACCCTAAATAACAAAATATAATTCATGTGCTCAGATTAAAAAATTTCTCTCTTCAAGGACAAATATCATATGTTTGCAAGTATAGGAGGATTAGGAGGAACTTAACTGAGGACCATGGGGGAGAAGAAGGGGGGAAATGCTGGGGGAAAGGGAGAGAAGCAAACCATGAGAGACTCTTGAATGCTGACAAAAACTGAGGACTGATGGATGTGGGGGGGAGGGGGATGGGCATGGAGGAGGACACTTGTGGGGATGAGCACTGAGTGTTATATGGAAACTAATTTGACAAACTATTTGTAAAAAAAAAAAAAAAAAAAAAAAATTTATCTCTTCAGAAGGACAATGAACCCTCCCCTGGCACCCCTAGGACCACATCCTGGCAGGGGCTCTCTAGCGTTAGCACAGCCTCTGCTCTATGGCTGACCCGCATCAAGCACCCCTAGTGCACACACATTAACCGCAGGAGTATGGACAGGTGAGTCCAGACGGCTTTGACAGCCCCAGCTCCTAGGACGAGAGAACCCTGAACACCACACAGAGACGAGGGGTAACTGTGTCATTAACAGGGCAGCTTATGTACACATCTCACCAACCCCAAGAGATGATGTGGCTTTTCATTTCCAAAGACAGAAGCTTCCCCCATATTGGGATCGCAACACTCGTTAACTTCATGAGTCCTGGCAACGACCTTCTAAGGCAGTGACAATGTCCCTGTTTTAGAGATGTGGAAACCCAAGCCCCGAGCTACGATTAAGTTAATGAAGTCATAGCCTGCACCACCCAGGGTAAGGGAATGGATTTCCCTTAGTGCCACTGTCACCTACAGATTCCTTGACCACTGGAGACGTACAACTGCTATTAAGAGGAATTGTCAAATTCTAGCAAATGCCATGAATACAGAGAGCCACACAAGTGGCTTGATGCACCAGGGCATAAAAAAATGCATACAGGTGACGTGGGAGTCAGAAAGTGGTCCGTCCCCACCACTGCACATCTCTGTGACTCGCATTGAATCAGGGGCTACAGAAACTGGAGACATCCTGCTGTTTCTCCTACAACTATCACCTGTGTTCCTCTGGCCAAGTTTCTCATCTATATAATGAAGCAGTTATACGTACCCCACAGGAAGGTCGTGAAGATTAAACACAACCTTGCATAGTGCCTGGCACCAAGGACAAGTTTCTTTTCCATTCTCCAGTCTGGCGCAGACAGGCAGTAAACACTGTTACTAGTTCAGAAGGAACACGCCAGTGTGGGATAAGTAAGGAAAAGTTTCAAAGAGATCACAGAGCACAGCACCTGGTGCTGAATACACTTTTGAATTTGTACTTATGAAGAGGAGTTTCTCCTGAGGCACAACGGGAAAGACGACTGAAGGGAGAGGGCGGCACAGCACACGGAAGGCCTTCGGGGCCACTGTGGACGTGGGGGCCGCTCCTGCACAGGACCATTCTGACACACCCTCTGGGCTACTGGGTCCAGGACAGGACTCCATTTTCCTTTTTACCCTAATTACCATGTACTCCTTCCCTTCTGTCCTATTTCAGACGTACAGAAATCCCCAACTATCACCTACTGCTACCATCAGTGTCATGATGAGTGTGATTACTGACAAACAGGGCCTGCTGCACACAACTACAAGAGATGCTAAGAGCAAGTCAACCCACAGGTTCCCATTTTTCTGTGTTGTATTACCAGCTACTGTCATCCTTTCTACTTTTTCTTTCCTTCATAGGAATACGTGGGCATGGCATGATTGCAGTGGTCCGCCCTTATCCACAGGGAGTATGTTCCAAGCCCCCAATGGATGCCTGATACCATGGACAGTACTGCACCCTCTATATACTGTTTTTTCCTACATACACACCTTTGATAAAGTTTAATCTATAAATTAGGCACAGTGAGATCAACAACTAATCACGGATTAGAACAATTATAACAAAACCTGTAATAAAAGTTACATGAATGTGATCTTTCTCTCAAAATATCTTATTGTACTGAACTCACCCTCCTTCTTGTGAGATGTGAGATGATAAAATGACCACTCAAAGAGAAGAAAGGAGGTGATGATGCAGGCATTGTGATGCAGCATCAGGTTACTGACCTTCTGACATGAGAAGATCACCTGCTTCCAGAACGCAGGTGACCACAGATAAATGTAACCATGGAAGAAAAACTGCAGACGGGGGTGGGGGGGGATGACATGGACTACTAGTTATTTCTGGGATCATGGTAATTTAGTTAAGCTATAACTCAATTTTTAAGAGTAGCTACACCCACCATTATTTGGCTAAGGTTAATAACCAAGAGATAGATAGGTAGAAAGGGATTACTATCAGTGAGCATTCTCCCAGAGACCTAATAAGTTATTGGTTTTTCTCTCTCTTTCATACACATATGTACACACACACAGGGAAAAGACTGCTAAAATGCAACCTGAAAAAAATGTAAAATTCACATTATTTCCAAAAAGTAATCCTATTAATAGAATTTTAATTAATCACTAATAATAAAAGACAAAGCAATGGCAATTAAAAAGGTAAAACTCATAAATAAAAAAGGAGTAAAAATCATACTCCAGGTTCTGAAACAGGGGAGGAGCTCCGACAGAAGAGACCGGAGCCCAAGCATGACGGCCCATCATCTCATAGAGCGTCGCCTCTTCCAGTGTGCACTTGAAAGGATGACAATTTCAAGAAAATGTTATGTTGAATTCACCTCTGAGTCTCCACCTCGGGTCGCTCTACTCCCCATAAAAGCACCAGTAGCTAGAGTCAGTACTTACTGGAGCAAGACGGCCTTGTAGAAGACACGGCTGCCTTAGAGGTGGCCAGCCACCTGCCACCCCAACATGGCACTCTCTTTTGGAAGGCCAGGTTACATCTCTAAGGGGAAAGGCCTCTTTCCTGACTCAGCATAAGTTCTAAAGTCCACAGCTAGAAACGTGCAGAAGGATGGGGGGGAATTCTTTAAATCCACTGAATTTATCTTTTATCGATGACTATTGACTGGTCTCAGCATAAACAGATAGGTTCCGAATAAAATGTGTTGGTGGAAATGTGCTCTGAGCATCTTTAGGTTTTAAGGTTCCCCTGCTCCTGTCAAATTACCTGTAATCACTTGCCGTCACCACATTAAGCCCTCTTTAAAGGGTCTCTCATTTACCTCAGTGGATGTCTTTAAAATGCATTCTATTTCTATGGCAATTTAAATGATCACCTTGACATTGCTTTTCTTACTCCCCGTGAATAAAGAAAGGGCATGTTCTTTATCAGAAAGTGACACCTGCCATCAAAACTGTTCTCTGGTGTTCCGGTTTCCAAAACGTAACTATTAGAAGGCCAGGAACATGAGCTCAGGTGAAGGGAGCTTGTTCGGTTTTCACGAAGACTAAATTTAAACTATAAACCTTCATTTAACATGGATTTTTTGTACTCCTTCAAGTCTCAAAAGAGAACATTACATCCCCAAAGACTGAATCACTTGTCTCTTTTAAGAGTTATCAGAATAGCATTGTGCTGAAAGTGACAGTCTGGCTATGTTCTGTTTGCTAATGCAGCACAGACTTGCTGGCCAACTGCAACTGGCGCTAAGTCCTTATCACAAATAAAACTATTTTTGTGCCATTTCTATTTTTCACGTAAACGTCACCAGCTCTTCCAGACCCGGGACCTGTCAAGTGGTCTGTTGCCAAGGCTCTGCCTGTCAGAAAGGTCAGCATCCAGTACCTTCCAGTCGGGCCCCAGAGGGCCTCTCTTGGTCTTGACTGACTGGAATAACGCTGGGTCTTCATCAGCTTTGTAGTCCTGCAAAGCAAAACAAAGTCAGAGGCAGAGAAGAAACCCAGAGAAAATTCTTTAACATTGCCAAAACAGCTCTTCGCAGCTACTAAAACACAGAACAGAAACTGATCAGGCTTGTTACTGTGCTCTTGCATATAAGTAGGGAAATGCGTCATTATGATAGTAAGGTTTTGGCTTGGTTCTGTTTTATACTCTAACCTTAAAGCAAGACGACTACACAATATATAGTATTAAAAGCCTTGAGAGCTAGCCACTGGTTAACAAATAGCTCAACAAACCTTCCCACATTTTTTAACAGTTTCAACATGTCGATACACATATAGCCAACATTCAAGAAATAAAACGTACCCACCATCCCAATCTTGACTATCCCCATAGGTGATGACCGAGAGCTACCACTGTGGCTGGGAACGCAGATCGGAACTATCAATCCTGTGGCACGCCTGCTCTCTTCCACGGCTGGGTCTATGCCGGTTCAATGACAAGGCCAGCCAGTCCACGCCCTTGTCCAGAGGCCCACAGGGTGCAAATCCCTTAACTTGCTCATGGAAGGACTGTGCTCAACGGAAGGACTGCACTAAATGGAAGAAGGACTGTGCTCCATGGAAGAGGGACTGCGCCCATGGAAGAGGGACTGCGCTCATGGAAGAGGGACTGTGCTCATGGAAGAGGGACTGTGCTCCATGGAAGAGGGACGGCGCCCATGGAAGAGGGACTGCGCCCATGGAAGAGGGACTGTGCTCCATGGAAGAGGGACTGTGCTCCATGGAAGAGGGACTGCGCTCATGACAGCCCCCCATTGTCACAGGAGGCGAGCAACGGGTTTATGACTTCATCATGGGACTAACTCAGTTATGTCAGTCCCAGGGGAATGGCCTTAAGACTTTGGTTGTATGCAAAGTTCTAGTGCCTGTAAATTCTATTTCCCTAACATCCTCTTCCTTATGGAATGGAGGAAATGAAAGAAGTAAATCTTTTTAAACCTGCCTGCTCTACACACACATAGAAACACAATCTACAGTAAGAAAAAACTACCTTAGAGAGCTAAAGTCCAGATTTAAAACAAGAAATGAGTGTTAATGGTAACACTGAGCAGGGGTCAGGTGGCGAGCTGAAAATACTACAAAAGGAGAACCCACGCCTTCTCTTGCAGAATTTCTGAGCCCGGGGTCCTTCCCAGCCTTCACGGAAGGAACATGTAGTATAGGGAAAACACTCAGACAAGTTGTATGTGAAACATCTCTGTTCTAGAAAGAAAGGCAAGCAGCGAACATATTCTAATACAAACTTTCACAAATCAAAGAAAACATGTTGAGAGGCAGCCGTCCGAGTTTCAACATTTACTCAGTAAAGGCACATGACATGTCAGTAATTCCTAAAGAGAAAATTATACATAAATTGTGTGAAGGAGGAAAAACATGAGATTCACATAGAAAACAAAATTTTCAAAAAGGCCCCAACAGGATGCTAAACTTATTTCACAAGCAAATTTAGCTGGCTACCCTGAGTCATGCTGCTTTAAGGTATGCAATGTGGTATCAGGCATTGGGTCAGGCAGCACTCAGGTACGACAGACCAGGACAAGCCGCCTCCAGGGGGTCAGAAAACTGGAGTTACCTCACATGTCTGGGCACATCACAGAAAGGTCAATTTGTCAACTAATGTGAATTCTTAAATTCCAATTTAGAGCTGCACCCTCCAAATTAACCACCTCACTGCTGAGACAGGAATCGATTGTAGAGGTGGTCTATACACGGAGGTTCACAGTGCGAAATCAGCCATCCTGCTAATGTAAACAATCATGCAACGCCATAAACTGTTTCCCTAGGTCAGCGGCTTGGAAGTAAAATCTAGGAACAAGCTCACTTTTCCCCAAAATTGAAAATATTTCACATCCTATCAAATAATCGCTTCTGACACCATGTCCCTCACTCGAATCTATTCAGTAGCCAGCACATAGAGGGTAGCGTGCAGGATGCTAAGAGGGGAGCCAGGGGGCTGAGGGCACGAGGAGAACCGGCACCTACCAGCTCTAGAAAGTCGCAGTGGAGCTGAGAGAAAGGAAGAGTCAGACAAAGAGAGGAGGACAGAAGCCCCAGAGAGTAGGAGCTAACTGCCAATAGAGAATGGAGAGACTCAGAATCAGAATTGAAATCAATGGACACAAGCCAAGGAAAGGCATTTTAAAAATCAGTTTTAACATCGGGTTTAAAGGTAGGAAAACCTTAATTGCAAAGGCATATGTTAAAATTTTTTGTGACTAAATTTTTAACTATCTGCATAATGTCCAGAGGCCTGGCCACTGTTTAATATTTCAACTCACTTGGGGGTGGGGGGGGGGCACTTTCATAGACTTATACCATCTCAGATGTGACTCACTGTGGGCTTGCAGTCCCAATTTTTTTCTTAATGCGAAATGTGAGCTACTATGGAGCCTGGCATGGGCCGAAGAGTAAGCACATTTTCTAAATCTAAGAGATGCTCCACTGTTTTTATGTGGCATTAAGAAGGAAAGCACTCAGCCAATAAGGCATGCCGGAACGGGAAGACGAACCCTAGCTCTCAGTGTACTAAAAGGTGAGGAGAAGAGGGCAGGGAGCCTAAGAACTGATGAGCCGGGGCCCGCAGGGCCACCCTACAGCTACGGCACGCACCAGTGAGGGTCAGGTAGGCTTCACTGACGACACTCCTTCAGGCCCTTATCCAGCTCCGTACCAGGATGCCCACCGCAGGGCCTTTCAATGCCTATCTGACATATTAACTGAAGAACACAGAGTAACACTTCAAAACTTCTCCACTCTGAACCTAATACACTGTTGCAGAAAGTCTACTTTCGGGCCTTCTTAGTACCAGGTACATACACCATGATACCTTCACGACAATACCTTTCTGGACTAAGGATTCACAGAATTACAGAGGAAAACCCCACCAGGAAGAACATCTACGCCGCCTCGTCCCAAGGAGTAAGTGGTACAGTGCTCCCACCCTAAGACTTCCACTCAAGCCTTCCTGGTCTCTGTGCTTGGCTCATTCTGGTGCACCACACAGGAGGCAGCAGGAGTGTGTCCACAACTGCCAGATAAGCAAAACACATTTCAAAAACACCCAGTAGCAACAGCAGCAGCAGCAGCAGCAGCAGCAGCAGCAGCGGCAGAGGTATCAAAGTGGATCTGCCTCTAAGGCAGGAGTATGTGCATATAAAATATTATACACACAAACACATCTCTCTCTCCAAGGTAAGTCTTCCCAGCTTTTTTCTCTTGACTAAAAACCAGCAAACATTAAAGATATTACACTGAAAGTGTAACAAGACCCAATTATTAACAATAGCACCTTAACCCTGACAGATGAGGATAATGCATCTTGTCAAAACCTAGGAATTTTTGTTTTTTTTTAACGCTAGTTTGAATACGTAAATGTTTAATCAGTTGAATTAAGTGGCAAGGTATTAAAAAGCAGGAAGCAGGTGTAGCTGTAACAACCTCAGTTTCGTACCTTTATAACAAAACATTTAATTTTTTTGAACAATATCTTCTTTGCTACAATTTTATTGTTAGGTATCTGGTTTGGTCTTTCTGTATTTGAAAACTGGCCGATTTATATCCGTATCACAATGAACAAATATATTCCTTCATGTATGACAGTTCCAGCATACAGAATGCAACCTCAGCTACCAATTATAGCTGCAAATGAGCAATAGTGTGGAATGAGACAGCCTGCTGGCTTTGTTAGTATTCTGTCTCCTTTGGGGTCCCATGGGGAAAGGGGAGGCTCTGATGAAGAGAAGCCCTTGGCTCATGGTTTATTGTGCTTGCCACCAGCTGCAGACTTCTCATCTCATTAGTTCCTTTAGAATACTGTGGGTGAAGACAGCTGTAGCCTACTTGAGTCTTCAGCTCCTGGGTATTCTGAAGGCTGAATTTGCTATGCACTTTCTGTAATCCTTGGGAAAAAAAGAAAGCAAATTCACCAGGCCAGGGAAATGTATTTTTAAAATGAGTTTTAAAATCACGTTTAAAAGTAGAAATATCTTATTGCTAAGGTGCACTGTGTTTAAAAATTTTTATGATCAAATTTTAATCGTCTGTGTGATGCCCAGAGGCCTGGCCAGGATAAGGGCTCGGTAAAACCATCATTATCAAGTTAGGTGTAACGTCCCTAGACACTGCTCACTCCACCAATACCAGCGCCTCAACAACAGGAAAACACAACGGTATCAGCATAAGGTAGATTCGGATTAGTGTTAATACAACTCTATTTAATTGAAAACTCTCACTTAAGTAAAAAAGGAGGCAAGTGAAAGTCAAGACACCCTTTGGAGAACAAATAAAATATAATATGGTAAATAAATGGCTTACTGAGTCTCCATGCTGGAGCCACAGAATACATTCATTAAATTCTTACAAATAGCTGTTTTCTGTCACTGGAATACAAACGTCGTGCTACCTCTTGGGTGTACATCTGTTACTCTCTACAGCTCACAACAGAAACTCTCAACAGAAACCAGCTTCATTCTGGTGAAGACAAAGAATATTAGTTTTATGAATCTTTCAGCATAGTGGCTGTCCCCCAAAATGCAAGTACAAAATCAGTGCTGAGCTAACCCAAGTGTCCTTGAGCCCAGATTTAACTCATGATTATGAGTTATAACATATATATATATATATGTTATAACATATATATAATCATTTAAACAATGATTATGAATGGGGAAGCGAGTAGGAGGTGAGGGACCGGTAGGAGCTTCTTGACAGCTTGTGGAAAAGTCGAGATGAGCTCCAGACACCAGAAACGGCTTCCAGAACCACGCATGGGTCACCACAGGTGCGGCTAAAGGTAGGCTAAATGAGAGTGCCTAAGTCATAGCACTGGCAGCCTCCACACCTGCTCAGGAAAGGGCACCACCCCCACCCCCGCACCAACTCCGCCCCCACCCGCAGCACAAAGCAACAATTCTATGGGGCAAAAATAAAAACTTGAGAGAGATATTAGGATCCTGCAGC